CTGGCCCCAGCCCTGTAAGCTTCTGGAGCTGCCTCCGTTCCCACTATGTTCCACGGAAGCTGCTAGGCTGCTAGGCAACGGAAGCCACAGATGTGGACTTGCTGGAGTCTGGCATAAGGCACAGAGTTGCAGCCATTCGCTCTGGGTGGCCTGTCCTCTCCTGACAGCCCTTCTCTCATTCCTCAGTACAGCAGGGGCAAGTTGTACAGTTCTTTCTAGGGGGAAAGCATGAGGACAGAAAGGGGAGAGGGCAAAGTGGGTATGGAGAGAGTATCCTGATGGTGGAGTCTGTCCCTAGCTTGTGCTGGCCCCCAGGCCTCTAGTTAGTGCTGCTGGATTAACTGGAACTTTTAAGGTGTAGTGTTAAAAAAAAAAAAAGGGTGGAAACAGGCTCCTTAAATATGCTGGCCATGTCTGGCTTCTCTGGTGTACTAGAAAAGCGCCTTCCTCCCCGTGCTTTTGATCCCTGGGTGTCAGTCATGGTTTACTTCCGAGGTATCTGTGGGAGCAAGTGGAAATAGAAGGGTTGACTCCCTGGGAGGTAAAGTAGCCACCTGGTTGGCCCTGGGCATAACAGGTGGATCAGTGGAAACTGCAGGCTGGAGCCAGTGGCTGGTGCTGTCCTGAACCTCCCTGGTCTGGCCCCCAGAGGGAGGAGCTGCCAGGGTCAGCGGGAAGACCCATCCATCAGCACCCTGTCTGTCCAAGTCTCTTGGCGGGGCTGCAGCTGGCAGCCTGGGCTTGGCAGTGATTGCACAATTGGCTCTTGAGTCGTTAAAAAGCCATTACTGTTTCCCTGCATGGTTATCGCAGAGTATACTCTAGAACGGTGCCCGTTGGAAAGACTGGGAGGTGTTGGTGAGAAAGGCAGACACCCTAGGAATGGTGCTACAGTGGAGATGAGGAGGCGGGGCCATCTGGATGCGGGTAGAGAGTGCGCTGGGCCTGCTGTGCAAGAGAGAGGAGCTCTAGTTCTGTTCTCTCCCTGGGGACGGCCGTCATTGTTGTCATTGTTCTCCACCACATGCTGCGGTGTGCTGGGGATTCTTTGTTAGTCACTCAGGAGAGATGTTGTGTGCTTGGATGCATTGTGCTTAGCCAGGAACACTGTCCTAGTACAAGCTTGTCACTTCCAGGTGACTATGGTCTGCCTAGTGCCCTTGCAGTTCCCCTAGAAACCTGGGCTTCCCCAGGAACCCAGTTTTACCCGCATGTCATGCCCACTCTCAGAGCCTCCCGGTGTTGGTGGGTTTATCGCACGCTCTCCTAGATGGGTCTTCTCAGCCAGGCGCACGCTGCATCTGGCCACCTGTTACCCTTGCCATGCACACTCCTTTTCTTCTAGGTACTGGGACACAGCTGGTAGTGGTTAAGGTGGTGGGCACCTCTAAGATATCTGAGGTTCTGGAATCTCAGAAGCCTTTCTCTTCTATTCATCCATCTTTCTCTGAAGGCCCTGGGTAAGTCCTTTCCCCCTGCAGTCTTACCTGGTAATCCGTGTTACTAAAGCTTGTGACTCTTTGCCCTTCCCTATGGGGAATGAGGAGGGAAGCAGAAGAAGCAACATGTTTATGGAAAGTTGCCTCTTGCCCCAGGCATAACTGTGTGGAACGTCCACTGCTTTGTGACACTGCCTGTGGTAGGAAACCAACTCCCCTGCATGCATGAGGCCATTAGAGGACACAGTCAGTGAGGCTGGAGTTTCTGGAAGCACCTTTTGTCAGCTGAGCTGCCACTGTGAGCCAGCATTTCTAGAGATGGCTTTGTTGATGTGAGCTTTACCTCTCAGCTAAATGGTCTCTTGTAAATAACTCTAGAAAGTCACACTGGCACCATAGAAGCCATCTTGTCGGTTCTGCTCAACCAAGACCAGTGTAGGAGTGACCAGGGTGACTGTGTCTATCTCTGGAAGTGCCCCCTGAAAGTGTGCATGGCTTGTGACATCCCAGTCAACTGTGAAATGGGAGTGGTGACAAGAGGCACAAGAGGAAGCCTCATGAAAGTCATGTGGGGACTTACGTGGCTAGGCCACTAGCATACAACTGACTGTGAGGATTACAGGCTGCCTGGGTCCAGGTCTGCAGTTCAGCAAGCAGCTCCTGCCATCAGGATGCAGTTGTAGAGTTCAGACTGCATTTTCTTCATATTCAGGAAGTAAGGAATGGTTATGCACTGCTAATGGAGCTGACAATGATAGACAGTATCGTTTAGAAGTTAGTCTGTGTCTTAGCTTTCTGTCACTGGGACAAAATACCTAATACTTTTATCTTAAAGGAGGAGAGTTTTATTTGGGCTCACAGTTCTGGTGGGTTCACTCCATGGTAAGCTGGCTTCAGGGCAGAAATAGTATGGTGGAAGTGATATCGCGTGATGTGTCTAAGGGAGAGATTCTAGGTTCTTGTGTATAGTGAGCAAAGAATTGCAAGTGTACATCCAATTCTAAAAGAAAAAGCAGTTACATATATTGACGATAATGGGAAGAAGGTGTGCTCAGGGTAAGTCCATGCCAACAGAAACAAAAAGGTGGCACAAACAGGTGTGGTGCTGGGAAGGCGGGGGAATAAGGAAAAGATGAAGAATCAGGCTTTCATATTTTAAAAGATGTGTACCCCACCCCAGGTGCCTCTCATTGGACTCTGGATAAGAGTGACAGAAATGATTGACCGGGTGTTGAGTCATGCATGTCAGGGGCTCCTAGTATGCACGACTCTCCCAGAGTTCACTGTTGTAATCACATGCAGGAGATGGAGTCTTTCTGTGTAAAGATTCAAGGAGGTTTGAGTGGGGAAAAGCTTACTGAAGGTCATCTACGGTGTATGCGCTCTGGAGTGGAGCTTTAGAGATTTCCTGGGTCTTTGTTATTTTTATTTCTGCTTCTCCTAGGACAGTGGAAGGAGGATTGGCCCTGGGTTGTGCCCATTCAGGTAGATGGAGGGGTAGTGGTCAGTCAGTCCCAATTGTGCTACCCGTGCTAGGCAGCTGTGGGCTACTCATGTCCTGGTGGCCAGGCTAGCAGAAAGAAGGGAGGAGCGGGAGGCAAGAAGGCTCCCTTCCAGATCCCACCGCAGTGACACACCTCTAACCAGGCCTCACCTCCTGACAGCAGGTGTGTACCCGCATGAGCCAATCACTTTCTGAACACTCGAGACTGTGGGGGATGTGTTAGACCTAAACGTAACAGTCTGTGAGCAGGTGCTTTGCTTTTGGGTCGCTCAGCCAGGCCATTGACCTGAGGTACAGAGATGGTGGAGAGCTGCAGCCTGTCAGATCCGGCAGGGCTCACAGGAGTCTTGCTCGTTCTAGACCCTCAGCTTTTCTTCAGAAGCTCTCGCTACCCTTCCACCCTTGGGATTCTGTCAGCCAGCTCAGATATTTAGGGCGTGCTTCTGTCCTCAGCAGGTCCTGGCGAAGGCCTCTTAGGCAAGCAGGCTGTTTTAAGAAGACTGAGGCCTAGAGGCACGTGTCTCAACAGCTGTCTGTTGAATGGTGTTTTCTCCTATGATCTGGCAGCTGAGGGTTTGGTGAGTGAGGCAGTTGTATGCACAGCCTCACATCTCACTTGAGACTCTTCTGATATGCAGAGGCAGCCCGCAGGTACCAGGAAAGGCCTCCCCAGATGTTAAGTGGGGAGACAGCAGCCAGTTAAAAAGATGTGTTGTTTTTATAGGGTGTGGCCAGGGAGATGGGTAGGTGAAGCCAGAGGTGGTAGTAGGCAGCTTGTGGTAAGTGGACTTCCTCCCTCTAAGGGACCTGTAGGTCCGTGATGGTTGGAGCTAGAAAGGGCAAGCTGTCAGAAGGAGCTGGAAATGGCTTCACCTTTCCTTTGGTGTGATTTGACTTTATCTTTCCCCTTCCACACAGACTATATCGACCTTCACACATGAATGCCCAATTCTAACACAAGTGTGTGTGTGCATGTGTGCATACACATGAGATGCACTTAACACACTCCTGATAGCTCCACACAAACCTACTATGCTCGGGCATGGTTAAACAGGTACCCACATTTGGGTCTGGTGCAGGGGTTGGCTCCGGTATGCTTGTGCAAGGGCTTCCTGGGGCTTCCCAGTGCTCAGTTCTGCAGGCTCCATGCCCCTCCCATTCAGCTGTTCTGATCTTGTGTGTGTGTGCTTTTAATTTGTCCCCAGGATGTCTTGTGCTAGCAAGGAAGCTAAGTGGTTTGAGTTACCATCTCCCTACTCAGGCTCTTCCTGGAAGGCAGGGCAGTCTGGGAGAGATGAGGCTGCTCAGTGACTTAGTACCCCCAGTGCTGCGTGCGCCATGTCTGTGGTCCAGGAAGGGTTTGGTGGTGGATTGCTGTGCTTTGCATTGACCCGTTGTGTCCATCCGATAGACATCTCCACCCAGCCCTGGCCCTCTCTGGCAATTTGGTTTCTTAACTTCCTTTTCCTAAATGAAGGGGATCCACTGTCCTCTTCAAGGGAGAAAGGGACATGGATGGTATCCACACCTCCACTCCACATACTAGGGATCCAGGAGTCGAGGATTAGAAGAGGGTCTGCCACCAAAGGACCCAGCCTCTTCCAGAAAGGATGTACAGGAGGAGGGAAAGTCTGGGGAGATCTCCATAAGGATTTGGAGGAAGCAGGCCCCTGGGCTGGAAGGCCGAGCTGGGCCCTGGCTTGTAGCTGATGCCTCTCCATGGTATCTCCCAAATCTCAGTTACGCCTGATCCTGCTCAGGGGTCTGGGGGTTGGGGGGTGTCCCATTCTGTTCTTATTGGGACCAAGCTGCCTAGGAAGTCCTTGTGGCAATGAGTACTAGCAGGAAACGAGCCCCCAAAGTTGCAGAAATCGGGCTCAAGACTTTTGCACAGGTTCCTAGCTGACAGCCTCTGTCTTTCCCTCCTCCATCATGTGGGTTCACAAAGTCCGGGGAGCAGTGATGGGAGGGGCTTAAAAGGCTCGTGGATACGGCAGTTCCGGCTGTATCCTGCCGTCACGTGGAGAGGCCCTGAGTACCCCTCTCTCCCTCTGCAGTGTCTTAGATGATGAGGGCAACAACCTGAGGCAGCAGAAGCTTGACCGGCAGGTGAGTGAGGCGGGGGCCGGGTGAAGGGGCAGTCTGGGCTGGTGTCCCCAAGGGCACCGGGGAAGGGCCGTCCCTCTTGCCTGCTTGCCTTTGAAGGGCTGGATGTGCTGTGATCTTGCCAAGGCAGCCACCTGGGCTGAGTTTCGCTACTCCTCCCTGGACCCCAAGCCTTGGGGTGCCTTGGCTCAGGGCGGGCTTTGGACCCCAGTGCCACCTCTGGAGCCCCGCGCAGGGAACAGGGCAGTCTCTCCAGGCCCACTCTGGAGCCCACCCTCCTCCTGGTGGAGGTGAGGGCCAGCCCTTCTCTGTGCCTGCCCTGTGCCTCTGTAGCGGGCCCTGCTGGAACAGAAGCAGAAGAAGAAACGCCAGGAGCCCCTGATGGTGCAGGCCAATGCCGATGGGCGGCCCCGGAGCCGGCGGGCCCGGCAGTCAGAGGAGCAGGCCCCTCTGGTGGAGTCCTACCTCAGCAGCAGTGGCAGCACCAGCTACCAAGGTACACCCTGCCTCCTCCCGGTGGCAGCCAGCCTGGGAGACCCCTGCAGTGTGGCTTTGGGGAGCCCCGCAGGGATTTCCTACTTACCCTGTCAGGGTTTGCCCAGCCCAGGTGGACAGTGGAGTGAGTGGGCAGAATGCCCAGGATCTCACCTCCTGAGTCAGCTGTCAAAGCCAGAGCCTAAAAACTATGAATTTGGGAATTCGAAGGTCCAGGTTTCTAGAGAGAGCAGGAGGCAACGCCTAGGAGTAGGAGAGTCTGTTCCCCACCAACCCTGTCTCTGAGAGGAATCCGTCTCAGCATCCTGCCCCACACCAGCTGGGGTTTCCTGGGACACCTGCCTGCTTCCTTCTTCCCCGAGCCCTCTGTACCCTCCATCTGCCTGTCTTCTGACCCGCAGATTCCTGTCCCTGGCTCAGGACCCTTTCAGAGATCTAGTGACCCGCTGCCTCCCACTGCTATCCTCACACACGCCGTTCTTAGCAGAGCCTGCCTTCTCCACCATTTCTCCTAGGGAGGGAATGGCCCCTTCACATCCCATCGCTCAGGACTTGGTCTCTAAGCTTGAGCGACTCAGTCACCACTGCCCCCTACTGGGCTGGTGGTGATCATGCAGGTGGCTAGTCCCCGAAATGCAGTAGTAACTCTGAGAAGGTTGCTGGCAGCTGGTTTTTGCAGGTAGGAAGCAACTATGATGCTCCCTTCCCTCTGTGGCTTCACTCTGACCTGGAGCCTCCAGCCACGTCGAGCTGCTGGCTTTGTCCTCCAGCCCTGCACCGTGTGAGGTTCTGGCCAGCCTCTAGTGTACCAATTTGGTCTCCTTCACCTACTGCCTAGGTTGTAGCTTGCATGCTGTATAAGCATGGTCCCCGCTGTGTGCACACACAGATTCTTTCAGGAAACCCGCCTCATTTCTGATAATAAAGCTGTCTGTGGGCATCTGCTAGGGCTAAGTGTGTGCTTAGAGCTTTGCCTGTATTCTGCCTGCTTCCTCACAGCAACTCATTAGCCCCCCGTGGTTGGTAAGGCCTGGCTCAGAGGGGTCAGCCGCCCGCCTGTGTGTGCTGGTAGTGAGCAGCAGGCCTGGATTAGACGCCGGCCCTGCCATACTCCAAGTGGTCTTTGCACCGTATTATGCTGTCTCCCTGATGGGAGCTGCTTCATGATAATCCCTCCTTGTGTACCTCAGGCTGGCGCCCTGGGCCTTTCTTCGTATGTGTGTAATCCACTTGGTAGGCCCTTCAGGAGGAGGACAGGGACCTCAGCCTTGCTGCTTCGGCAGCCTCTCATGGCAGCCTCTTCTCCACTCCTCTCGGGGAGCCATCCAGGGATAGCTGGCCGTGGTACACTGAGGGGAAGGCAGCCACTGTCCTGGGACCTGTGGAGCCTGGCCCACTGCTGTACAGGCAGCACAGCCCCGGCTCTGCTAAGCCTGGCACCTGGACTCGCACCCTGCCGCCTAGTGCGTGAGACCTGCGCCTTGAAGTGTCGCTGAGGTAGCGGTGTTTGCAGGGGCTGCTTGAGCACTGATTCGGGCCTGGAGGGGCCGAGCCTGTAGAGGGCTGTGCCGTGCGGAGAGAGAGCGAGCGGCCCTGAAGGTGCGTGCGGCTGTGGTGGAAGAGTTTCCCGTCCTGCCGCTCTGGGTTACTTGGTCCCTTAGGACCCTGAGCAGTCATTTACCCTCGCTGGATCTGTGTCCTTCCCTAAAACACGAGGGAAAATCTATCCTAGGGCTTTGAAAATTGAAGGAACCACAGTCAGCTGATCGATTTTCAGCTGCTAAGACTCCAGAGGAAGGCAGGCCGCCAGGGTCCTTCCCCACAAGGGACATCTGACGTTTGCGAGGGGCGTGCTGCTTCTCCGGGGACCCAGTCTGTGTCTGTCCCTCAGTAATGGACAAAACCCTGGGGAGGCTGCTGACCGGGTCCCCTGCTGACCTGGGAAGTGGTGTCTCTCAGTCTTTCCCCTCCCCTCCCACAGGCTTAGCTGCCTCCTGCTCCGCCCTCTGCTGGCTCTTGGTGTTAAGTACAGGGGGATATTCCAGCAGAAAGGCATAACTGACGCTTCATCCCGGGAAAGCTTTTGACCCACTGCTGTGCTCGTTCATGGTACACATTCATCCATGTGCCATGATTTATTGGAGATCTGCATTGTGTCAGGCTTTGGATAAGGCGCTGTGGGTCCCCGGTGAGCACAGACAAGCGTAGTCTCTGCTTTCGTGGACCTTATGGTCCAGGTGGGGAGGCTGTTACAGATGGTCACAGCTGGAAAGAAGCCAGACTCTGGGAGGCGCAGACAGGGCACCTGTCTGCCTAGAGAGCCCAGGATGGCTGCCTTGACCTGGAGTCTGCAGGACGAGTGAGTTACACAACAGGGAACGGTAGTGTGTGCAGCGGCAGCAGCCAGAACAAGTCCCTGCGGCAAGGGTGGACATACAAGGTCTGAAAGAGCTGCTGTGGCTGGAGCTCTCGATGCCCAGGCAGTGGTGTGTCAGGTCAAGGGGAAGGGAGCTGGAAAAGCCCAACAGGCAGGAGAATACTGGTCTGTGCCATAAGAGCGATCAGAAACCTTTCGAGAATCGTGAACAGGTCGGGGTCCCGCTGTGTGGATCCCACCAGCTGGAACCTTTCTAGACTTTCCCAGTCAGATGTGTGTGGCTCTGTTTATCCTGGAGACCTTCCTCTGGGTGTCCGCACAGGCTCGATGCCTGAGGGCCCTGCGGGCTCCCTGGGCTTGCTCTGGCCACGGCCTCTTCGAGAAGATGCAGCCTTCCTGTCCTCCTCCATCTCCCGTGACCCACGCTCTCACGGACATGCCCTGCCCCAGCCTGGACTCAGAACAGTTCGCTAGCTCAGAACTTTGGTTGCCCTGTTTGTTGGCTGACCACAGCTTTGGCTTGGCGTTGACTTCATCCCGTGGGGCTGGGGCACCACCTTGCAGCACAGCCTGCTCTGGACCTTTGCCTAGTGGGGGTAAGGGGGCTCAGGAGATACACAGGGGCGTGTGTGGGGGATGGGGTGGGCGGGAAGTGCTGTGCTGGGCGCCGTTGGGGTGGGGTCCGGTCTCACCCAATGCCCATTTTTCTCTGTCTTGGGTTCTTTCCTGAGCAGTTCAAGAGGCCGACTCACTCGCCAGTGTGCAGCTGGGAGCCGCCCGCCCAACAGCACCAGCCTCAGCCAAGAGAAGCAAGGCAGCCACCGCGTCAGGGGGCCAGGGTGGGGCCTCTAGGAAGGAGAAGAAGGGAAAGCACAAAGGTTAGCTTGCCTTCTCCGCATGCCGCCCCCCGCGGAGGTTTGGTCCCCTCTGTGGGGTCGGGAGAGGCCTATCTTCCTCACCGTTCTGGTGTCCGGGCCCCCGCTCAGCTAGCCCACAGGTCCTGTCTGACTCATGGGATGTCTAGGTTGACCTGTGAGTGTGACCACCCTTGTCTCCTGCCCTGTCTTGGGCTGCGCTCCCTCCATCCCGGCCTCCCTCCAATTCTGCCCTATGCAGTTGGCTTTGTAGACTGCCTTTCATAGGGGCCTACTGCCTCCCAGCAGCCTGTCCTGCTTGTGCATTATCTGCACTTCCTGCTCACATAGGCTTCCCTGGGCTCCCTGCTATAGGCCTAATTCCACCCTCTGGCCCACGGACCAGTCTGTTCCCTCTGCTCCTTTCTAGAGCAGAGGTCCCTAGGGATCATGGACTGCGATGGTGGCCCCTACCCTGAGCCCTGTCTCTTGGCTAGATACCCTGTTTCCTCAACCCTCGTTCACAGGCTGTGACTTTCAAGCCGCTGTGTCGTAGTTGGACAGTGGTATCGAGGTCCGTGGGCTTCTGGTCCTGGCTGTAGCACTCAGGCCTAGCTCAGCCAAGCCGAGTGGCTGCCACCGGTGTGGGCCGAGCCTTGCTGTGGCAGCTGCACGGGGAGTGTGGTGTGGGATGCAGATCCACAGTGTTTCCTCCAGGGATCTTCCGTGTCTGAGGATGTGCATGTTATCGTGCGTGTGTGTGAGAGAGACACAGAGAGAGAGAAAGAGATAGACAGACAGACACAGAGTGAGGCCAGCACTAAAAATAACCTGTAGCTGGCCATGTCCATGGATGGTTGCTGACCTCAGCTATGGTCAGATAGAGCCTTGTCCGCCATGGTGTTTTCTCCCCTGTGCAGTTGGTTTTGTAGATGACTGCTGTCTGTCTCGAGAAGGCAGGGTTTTTCAAACCAACCCTCCACAATTAATTAAGCCCGCATCCCTTCACAGTTTACCGATCATGAACAGGCTGACAGCAGTTATTAGTCTTTTTAAAAATCAGTTTTGCAAATGAAGTTTTGCAGAGGGTCTCTCTTCTCACTCACCCCTCACCCTCTTCATGGACATCTGAGGACCCAGACCCTCCTGTCGCTCCTGGATGTGACTCAGGAGTGTCTGGCCTGCAGGCGCCGGCGGGCCAGCAGCACCGGCAGAAGACAAGTCTGAGGCCCAAGGCCCAGTGCAGATTCTGACTGTGGGCCAGTCGGACCATGCCCAGGACAGAGGGGAGACAGCAGCCGGTGGGGGCGCACAGCCCAGCGGGCAGGACCTCCGTGCCACGATGCAGAGGAAGGGTGAGCCCCATGGGGGCCCAGCTGGGACCAAAGCTCAGTCCCAGCTTCCTTAGGCAGACCCGTCTCGGAGAGCCTGGCCTTCCTGTGTCCGGTCCAGACCCTCGTTGGCCGTCGGGGAGGGCGCACTTCGAGACAGATGAGAAGCTTTGGGACAGGGACCCAGAGAAGGCCCCGCTAAGGCAAAGAAATATAAACTGGGGCAGTCAGCCTATAACCCAACTCTTTCCTCCCAAGAGGCCCAGGTTTGGTGGCAGATTTCCTTTCCCTTTTGCTTCTTAGAAAAAGCTCCTCTTCAAAGTTGCCCACTTGTCTGGTGAGCAAAGGGGGAACATGCCAGGCTGCTCAGAGATACAGCGGGTCCTCCCGAGAAACCTGCTGCCAGACAAACTTGTCAGCAAGAGCCCCACCCTAGGGAGTCCCTGGTCCGTGGTGGCAGAGGGGAGAAGCCTAGCAGCGCCAGCCCCTGAGAATCTACTCTGGGACAGCTTCCTGGAGAAAGCTGTGGAGACAGCTCAGGACATCTGAGGACCCAGACCCTCCTGTCCCTCCTGGATGTGACTCCAGGCAGGGGAGGCAGGGGAGGACAGCGGAGACACAGGCTCAGGGTAGGCTGGGGAAGCATGAGTCACTGGGCCCTGCTCATGGAGCTGGGTGTGAAGCCGAGGCCCTTTCTCCAGTGGAGTCCACAGCCCGTTCATAGAAGACTCTGGGTCGGAAAGGAGGTTCTCCATGCAGGTTGAGCTCAGCGTAGGCCTTGATACGCAGAGGCAGCCATTATGGCCGCTAGAGAGGAGAGGGCAGAGGCAGGGACTGAGCTGAAACTGGGTGGGGGAGTGTTCTGAGGATTGTGCCAGCCCAGCTCATGTGTGCGCCTGAGAAAACGTGTTCCTTGCGTGTATCTGGATGCGGGGAAGTGTGTGTGAGAACATGAGTGCGCGTACAGGTGGCTGTGTGCGTGTGTAAGTGAGTCGGTGTCTGCACGTTGTCTGCGTGTGACCACGTCTTTCGGCGGGGGTTGTAGGTCCTCCCTGCTCATCTTTTCCCATTCCTCTGCTCGCTCCAGGCATCTCCAGCAGCATGAGCTTTGATGAGGAAGAGGAGGAGGAGGAGGAGGAGGAGGAGAACAGCTCTAGCTCCTCCCAGCTAAATAGCAACACCCGGCCCAGCTCTGCCACGAGCAGGAAGTCCATCAGGGTGCGTGAGGAGCTTTAACCCATGGCGGGAGGTTGGATGGCAGCGTTCAGAGGGCAGCCTGCCCACCCCATGGGGAGGTGACTGGTGCTGTGAAGACAGCAGGTGGCCTGTCAGGAGCTTCTCCGCTGGGCCCTTTTACCCTGGCTCCTGATCTCTTCAGCCAGGTCAGGGGATGGGGAATTTGGGGGGTGGGCCGGAGCTGGGCAGGGTGACGCCTGAGAACTTGTCCATGCTCCTGTCTCTACCCCTGGGACTACCGGGAGAGGGAAGGGCTGGGGAGATAGCACCTGAGCCCAGAGCAGTGTGGGCCAGCCCACATCCCGGGGACCCTGCCCTGCTCCTGCCCCCAGCGGAAGGCAGATTTGGATCCCTGAGCACCAGTGTTGGCTCTTAAGGTCCCTAGGGCTGAGGCTCCTACTCTCCCTCCTGGCAGGAGGCAGCCTCAGCCCCCACCCCAACAGCCCCAGAGCCACCGGTGGATGTTGAGGTCCAGGACCTTGAGGAATTTGCACTCAGGCCGGCCCCCCAGGGTATCACCATCAAATGCCGAATCACACGGGACAAGAAGGGGATGGACCGGGGCATGTACCCCACCTATTTCCTGCACCTGGACCGTGAGGATGGGAAGAAGGTGAGGTTGCTTTCTGTGTGTATTTTCACCTAGCTGGGCTCAAGGGCCCATGGCAGTGGTGGCGAACCTACGGCACGCATGCCACAGCAGACCATCTGTTATCAGTGCAAGCTCTAAAAGGTTTGCCATCACTGGCCAGGGGGCCAGAATGGGACTGGAATCCTCGGGTCCAACACTGACCCCTCAGATCCTGAGAGGAACAAAAGCCTGTGTGCTGCTCGGTGAGGTCCTGTGTGTTGGCCAGCATATGTGTGCGTGTGCACATTCACGCGTTTGGGAGTTGAAGCAAGGGAGTCGTTGGTGTGAGTGCCACCCTTGACTGTGATTGGCTGTGGACCAGGCTGGGCTGGAACCTGACCTTGCTCCACACCCCCACAGGTGTTCCTCCTGGCGGGAAGGAAGAGGAAGAAGAGTAAAACCTCCAATTACCTCATCTCTGTGGACCCAACGGACCTGTCTCGAGGCGGGGACAGCTACATCGGGAAACTGCGGTACCAGCACTGCCCCAAGAAGGCTGCGTGTGAGGGAAGGGCAGGGCAGAGTCTGTAGAAGGCATCTCCTGTCCCTGAAGATCTAGGCCAGGCTTGGATCTCCCACGGGGATCCTCGCTGTCAGATTTAACCACAGGCCCAGTCTGTGCCCAGCTTAGAGCCTCAGCTGCCCAAGGAGGTAGAGGTGTGGGCATGCTCTTAGCAACGCCTCACAGGGAGATAGTTTGCTGAGGTGCACAGTCCAGATTTGGTATCACAAATGAAGATGAGGTAAGTAGCTAGCGCTGGAGAAGGGACTGGCTGGCCATTGTCTGCTCACCTCCCGGAGGGCAGCACCTCAGTCTCCCCAGGGGGAATCCAGAATGCTTTGCTTCTCATAGGACGGACGACGAGCTGGCCCTGCCCTGGGGCAGAAGGCATCTGACCCCACACTGACTGTTTCTTTCCTTCAGGTCCAACTTGATGGGCACCAAGTTCACCATTTATGACAATGGAATCAATCCGCAGAAGGCATCGTCTTCTACTTTGGAAAGTGGGACCTTACGCCAGGAGCTGGCAGCTGTGTGCTATGTAAGTCTGGAGTTCCTGGGTCTCCGGTCTCTAGTTAGACATGAAACCCAGCACTTGCTGCCGGAGGTGCCAGCCCATCTATTTGGTGGGTAGTCTAGGCTAGGTGGGGAGGGGCTGCCCCCTGCAGAGCAATCCCTACCTGGGACAGGGGCGCTGGCCCTTCCTTGTCTTTGGGGCTCAGACTACATCAGGCCATCTGGGGCATTCTGGGAATCATTCCTGGCTTTACACAGACCGGCCTGGGAGTCTCCTGGACAGAAGGAGGTAGGGGACCTGGGTTCCGGTCTGTGCTTCCTCAGATTAACCCTCTGGAATGCCAGGTCCCGTGTGGCTCACAGGTCCCTTCACAGAGTCATCTCAGGAATGCTCAATCTGGGAGGTAGATCCTATTTTTTTTCTAAAGAGGAAACTGAAATTCAGTGGTTGGGTCACTTGCTAATATCACACCAACCAAACTGGAATGTAAGTACAGGGGGTTTCTATCTCTCTGATCTGTTAATTTTTTAAAATGAAGGATGGGTATCCCATCAACCTGGACTTTGAGGCTGGTGGGACTCATTATTTTGCATGGTGCCCTGGTGCCACCTGCTGGTCAGGTTTGGAGAGACAGCCTGAATCTTCGGTATTTACCAAGCATACCTATACTCCAGAGTGTTGGAGGCACTGAGGATACAGTAGTGAAGAGATATATTTACACCCTGAAGGGACTTACACCCTTGGTAGAAAGGGCAAGCTGTATAACAGATGTGCAAGTGAAATAAGTTTCTGATCAATCCTAAGGAGAAAAAAAGGAAGGGAGTATATGAAATGCCAAGGTACAGCAATACCTCCGTTCAGAAATGCTTCTGTTGGCAAACAGTTTGGTTCCCAAATACAGCGTTTGGTAAAATTTTGCTTCCGTTCACAAACTCCACATTGGGTGACAAACACGACCACGGCCATCTTCCCCACACAAACACAAATGCGGCCATCTCCTCCAAGATTGTAAAACAAATTACATTCGTTAACTGAGGTACCGCTGTATAGGCGCCATTTTAGGGAGGATGGTGGGGAGGTAACTCTTGAAGAAAGACCAGCAGGAAGTGAAAGCTCGGCATGTACAGGTCGTTGGGACGCAGCCAGGGCTAAAGTCACGAATGTCTGGCGTGGAGGAGTAATGGCAGGGAGAGTAAGGAGTTGGAGAAACGGGGCCAGACCACGGGAAAAAAAGAAATAGAGAAGAGTGACAGCTTTAGCTGGCAGCCACTAGAGGTTTTGGGCTGAGAAGGGAGACAGTCTGACTTCACAGGACCCCTTGCTACTGTGTTGAGAACAGGCTGTGACTGTGACCTGGGGGAGAGCGTGACGAACAGCGGAGGAATCCTAGGTGTGACTGCAGAGCAGCGGAAGTTGTTGGTATGCTAGAAGTGGGGTGTTAGAGAAAGAGGAGTCAGTAATGACTGCAAATAACCTGAGCAAATGGGAGAATTGAGTTTCTCCTAACTGAAGCAAGTTGGACTGTAAGAGGAGCTAGTTCTGACTGAGTAGTGACCTAGGAGCTCAGCTCTGGACCCGGTAAGCTTAATGATGTCTCTTAGACGTTTAAGTGGGGACGGTACAAACTCACGCATCCTTATTTCCTTTCCCCGGGCTCTCGAGGAGGTAAGTACCATCTTCGGTGGCCAATGCCCAGTTCTGTTTCCTAGGAGACAAACGTCTTAGGCTTCAAGGGGCCTCGGAAGATGAGTGTGATTGTCCCCGGCATGAACATGGTTCATGAGAGAGTCTCCATCCGTCCCCGAAATGTGAGTGGGCATCCTTTCCCATCCTCCCCCATCTCTCTGCGGGTGGAACTCCAGTTATTTTGCATGGGGCCCTGGTGCCACCTGCCGGTCAGTTTTGGAGAGGCAGCTAAGGGCACAACTCCAGCTTGTGCATACACGTGTAGGATATACATTTCGAAAAGCCCTGGAGGTCAGAGAAGCCAGCCCCATTCCTGGGAAGTATCGCTCTTTGGGGTAGTGATGATGCCAAGGCTTAGGCCTGGCTCAGGCAAGGCTGCCCTCCCAGGAACACGAGACACTGCTAGCCCGATGGCAGAATAAGAACACGGAGAGTATCATCGAGCTGCAAAACAAGACCCCTGTCTGGAATGACGACACACAGTCCTACGTACTTAACTTCCATGGGCGCGTCACACAGGCCTCCGTGAAGAACTTCCAGATCATCCATGGCAATGACCGTGAGTGTTTCTCCCCTCCTCGTACTGTCAGTGTGATACTTCAGGCCCTTAGTTTAGGGCTGAGCTAACCGTAAGTGGTCCATACCAGCCAGAGTTTATGTGGCCCACATGGCTTATGCATGTGTTGCCAAAGCCAGCACGGGTGCCCTTTATGGCTTAGATTAGGTGTAAAGCCCTTCCTAACGGTAATGACTGGGAAGCCTTCAAAGAATTGTCTTTGGAGCCCTGGTCCTAGATTCTGTATATTCGGCAGAGTCTTGGGCAGGGGAACAGCCTTTAAATGGACTTTTCTCTCCTCTGTCTCCTGGTGTTTGTATGCGTCTTTCTCTCCTTTGCCATCCGCTGTCTCTTGCCATCTCTCCCAACGGGCCTTTGCTTTTCTTACTTTTCTTTCTTCTTGTGGTTTGGGTGTCTGTTTGTCCCTCCTCTCTCCACTATTCCTGCCCTTTTTCTTTCTTTCTGTGTGTCCATGCTTGTGCCTGGCCCCAGCGGACTACATCGTCATGCAGTTTGGCCGGGTAGCAGAGGATGTGTTCACCATGGATTACAACTACCCACTGTGTGCACTGCAGGCCTTTGCCATTGCTCTGTCCAGCTTCGACAGCAAGCTGGCCTGCGAATAGAGGTCTCCTCCCGCCCATTGGGGTCACCCAGCCTGGAGTGGAGCTTGCCTGCCTGCCTGCCTGTGGAGACAGCCCTGCCTACCCTCTGTTCATAGGCCTTCTGCTAGATGAAGCTCTGGCCTTCAGCGGGCTCCCTGGCCCAGCCAGCCAGGGACCGACTCCTCTGCCTCTGATGCCGAGGCGAGGGACCAGTGGGTGGGTGTGAAGGGACAAGAGTAATTCCTTCTGTGCCCCAAGACCAACACACACCGCCACTCTTGGATTAGTACCGTGCTGCGGCCATGTCTGCCAAGCCAGGTGACCTCTCGGCTAGGAAGGCCCGAAGAGGTACAGAGGAAGAGGAAGCACAAGCAGGGCTGCTGTGGCCCAGCCATTCACTCATCCCAGGAGTCAGAAGACAGTGGGTGCCCCAACAGGTTGGGGCACAGTGACAGAGAATGACAGACAGAGAGAGACAGAGACGTGGAGAGGGAGTATATATATGAATACAGGCCACACCAACTTTATGTAGCAAAGAACTTGGTGTCCTAGCCCGGCCCCTTCCAAGTGCACAAAGCCCTCCAACTTCAGAAAGCCTCAGCCAGGCCCAAGGGAAGTCAGAGGAGTGGTGGAGGCAGATGAGCGGCGGGACCCTGCTGGGCTTGCAGGGGCCTGGCTGTCTGTGGCTGTGGGGATCAGCTGGTAGCCTAGAGTTCAGCTGACCTATTTCTCCAAATTTGCTGTGTGCTTAGAGGCACTGGGAACCCAGCTCTCGTGGCCAAATGTCTTAGTGGATGGGGCTGCAGGTGCACCAGCAGGCCTTCTGGAACACGGCTGTCTTGGAGCCTTGCCTGCTGGCCCAGGAGCGCTCTGCCGAGAAGTCCAGTACAACTCCTGGTAAACAGGTGAGATCGGTGTCACTAGCCCTTGCCGGTAGTGTCCCATTTGCAAGCCATGGCATCCTCCAGGAAGAATCTCCTTTTGGGAGAGACCCAGCCTGTGCACTCTTGAGTCTTTCAGCTCCCACTGCTGTCAGCCAAATCGCGGTTGGTGAGGGCTACTTTCTGTGGTGGTTCTTCTGAGGGCATGGGACAGGGTGAGGACAGTACAGAATATTTTAGAGCCACAAGAGATCAGAGGGGGTAGAGCCTTTAGGGATCAACTTGGCACTTTCACTAAATAGGACTTGCCTTGGGTTACCCAGTTTGTTAATGGCAGAGTTCAGAACCTCAAGTTCCTTTGATTTTTTTTTTTTGGTTCCTCATCCCCCAAGAAACTAGTATCTCCTGTTCTCTGGCCTTCTGGGGCCCATTCTGCATACAATTTACCCTGATTCCAGAGACTTGAAAACATCAGAGTTGACGTATAAGACTGAAACCATTTCAGTAGGGAACTGGGCACTTCCTTGTGGGAAGTAGTGTGTCTTTTTGTACGTCAGTCTGACCAGGATTGGCCTGGCCCCTCCATGCGGGCTGCACACCGGGGGCAGACCTCGGCAAGGCTGCTGTGCATTTCTGTCTGGGTGACTCGCAGCCCGGCTGCTTCAGGGCTGACCTGATTGCTCCTCCACTGCCACTGCTCCTCCTTGGACGGCACCTTCCTTCTTGCAGGTGTGGGAACTCAGCTTCTGCTCACTTGTCATTTACCCTGGTAGAGGCTTCTGTATTAGGTGGAGGTAGGAAACGTATAAGGAACAAATAGCAGTTGGACCTTGCTTTAGGTTAGTAAGCTTGAAAAGGCAAAGTAGAAATTTAAAAAAAAAAAAAGAAACATACTTAAAGCACGATAGTGTGGCACTATAGGAGAACAAGTTTGTTTTAAGTGAAAGCGGTGTTTCCTCATTTGTTTGTAGTCTGGGTTTCCCTATGTTGGGTGCTGGAAGCAGGACACCTGCTCTAGCAGCATCTTCCCTACCTGAGCTATACATCTCTGAGACAGGCCCCTCCAGTACACCAGCCTTTGTTAACATGGTCTAAATCCAGCACTTAGGAGGCTGAGGCAGGAGGATCGTTGTGAGTTTGGGACCAGCCTGGGCTACAGAGTGAGTCCAAGGCCAGCCTGAACTGCATAGTGAGACCGTCTCAAAAAAGACAAAAAAACCACCAAAAAAACAAAACATGGTCTAGTTTCTAAAGGGCACAAGGACTTTGTATGCTGGGACTGGCTGGTCTTTTTCCGGATGTAAGACTGCGGTGCCATCCTTTCTGTAATCCTTTGTCCCTTCTTTCCCTGACTTTAAAGAGAGACCTGCTGACATTAGAGATGACAGAAACAAGATAGTCTTTAAAGTCTGGTCAGCTGTTTTTCTGGGTGTGTGATTTTAAGGTAGAACAAGCTGACTCTGGATTCTAGTGAGGGAAGTCCCCAGCAGCGGAGTGGAAAAATCAGAAGCACAATGGAAAACTCTTGGCCTCTGCTCTCTGCTTTAACACACACAAGAGGATGGCTGGCTGTTTTGATAGGGTCAGGAAACATGGACTGAGCTGTCTAGCCGGGGTGTGAAAAGGGTACCCTCAGCACAAAATCCTCTTTTGAACATTGAGTGACAAGCAGGACCAGTTGACTCACCTGCTTGAGACCAGCCTCAGCTCTTAGACTCCACTCCTGGTGATGCTGCCTTTCCTTGAGCACTGGCCCTGTTGCCACAGGTTCATGGACTCACAAAGCTGCCAAGGCCCAGAAACCACCTGTGTTCGACCTCTCCTACAGTAAGAGTTCTTGCCCTTCACACCTTCTGCCCAGATGGTCCTTGATGGGGCAGTGAGATGACGCGGAGATAAGCAATCCCGAAGGATACTGGGCACCCGGGTTCTTAGGCAGCTCTGTTGCAACTGCTCCTGGCTCTGGGCCCCCAAACTCGACACCTTCTGCCCCAAAACAGTTCCCCTGCAGAGTGGTGAAGTTTGCTTCCTTAACTCCTTTCCAAGTCTAGCTTTTCTTTCCTTCTGGCTCCAAGGTGCTCTGTGTCTGTGTGTGTGTGTCTGTCTGCGTGTCTGTGTTTCTGGGGAAAAGGGCAACCTGTAAACAATCGTATTTCTGAGGATGAGTGGGAAAGGAAGAAGGAGGTGGTTAGATTACCTGTGGATTTGGTCCCTTCATTTCCTGCTCTTTCACCCGGAAGGATATTTGGGAAATTAGCAGCTTTCTCCCAAGGTTCTAAGTGGGAGGAGACCATCCAAAAAACTTCTTTCGGTTCCCACTTGGCATCACCTGAAGAAATTGGTGTGTTACATGCATACCTTAGATGAATCTGAATATACTGTAGTGATGGTGCCTTACAAATCGTGACACTAGTTCAGGGGAAGCATGTAAAACCCAGACCCATGGCCGAGGACGTGTTGGGAGCCAGGGAGTATGTGGATGATAGGACAGGAAAACCTCTTAGAGCCCATCTCTTCCAGTGACAAGGGGGTTATAAGACTGTCTAAGCAGTTATTTTTCTTTTTGGAAATAGGACGTTTGCTATATGGTAAATAAACTTACTGTTTATTTAGAAGTAGTCCTAAACTTAACAAGCAATAAAGGTGACTGCAGAGGAGAAGGTCCACGCTTTGCTCAGCTGGGGCCTGCAGTGGGGAGACTGGGATAGTCCTGGCCATGGCTTTGTCGTGCAAGCACAAATCCCATTTCTGGATGGATGTACCAGTGTTCCGTACCGCGGTAACCCTGGAATCTCCTCCTCCGTAACGCCCTGCCCCAGCAGCAGCGTTGCTGTGGGACCTCAGGATTACAGGTGGCCAGCAGAGCTGAATAAATGTGCTTTCTTGTGATGCCTAGTCCTGTGAGTTGGGCCTGACTGCTCTGGGCCCTGGCTTGTAAGCCTGTTGCAGCCCCCAGGAAGAGGCCAAGGGATAGGCTCTCGTTTTGAACTTACGGCCACCTGTCCTTTGTACCTCCAGTTTGCAGTTTTCTGCAGGAGGGGCCGAAGCACTGGGACAGACTTGGATTTTGCATGTTCTAACCAGGAGAGGCAAGTTATCTTACAGAAAGTACTGCATTCAGTAGCTGTGTGATTTTTGAGCACACTTAGGTCTGTTTTAACTGTAACACGAAGACGGACTGTCAGAGCTTGGTGTAGGAATCAGGGTGAATGAAAGTTAATTCTTGCTTTCATCACTACATTTTCAAGCTCATCACTGTGCCTTCTTTCTTAAGAAAGACACTGCACCCGTCTCCTCTGTTCTCCTGTCCCTCCCTCCCCCATCAAGGTCCAGGCAGAGCTGGAAATGAGGCTGAGGTCCAGAGTTTTCTACATAATGGTTCAGAACGGCTTAGAAGGGGAAGCCCAACTCTGGCCCCTTCATTCCTGCATTGGTGACAGAGGGGACTTGGTCAGGATGGGTAACACTTTTCTTGCTGGGAACACATATTTAGCCAGCTTTCATAATGCCTAGAATGTGTATGTCTATTTGCACAAGATTGTCTTTTCCAATTTTGGAGTGGTCAGACATTTTATTTTTGTTCAAAATTATCTGGAGTTTTAGACAAACTTGCAAAACTGTGCTTTTATTAAGTGACTTTTTGAATAAACATTTTGGTATTCTGAAGCAAATGTATGTATTTATTTATTGGTATGTGCAATGACAAACTTGGTATTTTCCCATCTTGACATTATGTATATTGTAGAATTTAGTGTTTGTCTAAGTACAGACATATATCAACAAATTAAACTTGAATTGTTTCAACACTACTGTGTCCTTTTTTTTTTTTTCTAGCTCCATAAAAGGAGGGAATCGTGTCTGTTTCCTAAAACGCTTTTCTACCTTGTTCAGTCCGAGGACCCTCAAATGGTTAGGTGGGTAGTAGTAAGAGCGATCATAGCTTGTTTAAAACCAGTGATGAAGGTCAACACTGCCTTTTCTCTGGCTGTGTCTTTCAAGTTTAAGAACCATCAGAGCCACACACACTGAGGCTGGTATGGGCTGAGAAGATGGTGGGGTTTAAAAATACTTAAATTAGAACTGTCCTCTTTAGGGTCAACTGTCCCAGTTGAGGGATCTGGCTGGTGGTTCTCAAGTATTCTCAGTGGGCTTAGCCCTTAAGAACAGAACAGGGCTTTGGACTGGAAAAGTCCCAACTAACAAATATAACATGGACCCAGCCACTGGACTCCTGTAGCCTTGCTCAGAGCCTTGTCCATGTAAACAAGACTTACACACATGGGAATCTTTTTAGCTTGTGGCAGACTTGAAGCCAAGAAGACAGGAGGCTGCAGCTCTGGCTGGAAGCAAGACACAAAAAAGCTAATAGTTTGATCCTGAGTGAGGAGAGATCACAACTAAAGTCTACCAGTGACTATGGAATGGACCTGGCCATATCTGGCAGTCAGGTTAGCCTTAGAAGATAAGTCCAGTAGTCCAGCAGCACAGGACTGGAGCACAGGGTGATGAGGACATTGATGCTGTTGCTGAGCACCTACCATATGCTTCATCCAGGGATATACACTTTATAAACAGTGGATCATTTAATTTAGGAGTTTATTCCTAATTCATAGGTGAGGAAACTGGTGCTCAGAGAAGTTAAGGAATAATCCAAAAGGAGACACTGGTCTTACTTCTTTGTATAAGAAGATGGTGAGAAGTACATCTTAGAAAGGTCTGATGATCATGGCAAAGCCACAGATGTGTCATTCAGATTTTTCTCAGTATTGCCGAATAAATGACAAAGTCTCCTTTGGAATACAAATAGTCTAGGTAGAAGAAATTTAAGAGTATGATAATAAGCAGATTGCTTTATTCCTTCACAGAGTTTTTGTTTTGTTTTGGTGTTGTACTGGGACGGAACTAAGGGCCTTATGTATGCAAGCAGTTAAGCTATATCCTCAGCCCCGCCACCCCCCTTTTTTTATCTTGAGACAGGGTCTTGCTAAGCTGCCCAGACTGTCCTCATACTTGCAACCCTCCTGCCTCAGTCTTCCTAGTAGCTGGGATTACACGTATGTACCATCACACCTGGCCAGATCTGAGAATTTGGTATGACCGAGGGTATCTCCTCTCTTCTGTGGCCCCAGTGGGAAACAGTGTATGCAGGATATTCTAAAAAGGAAGGAGCTTATTGTTTTTTAGTCATCAGGTTGAAGAAAAATCTTAAATGACCACAGACTATATGTTCAGATTAGTCTTTGTTTATATCCAATATCTTGGCATAATTATGAGTAGATTCTTTTTCCAAAGTGTCTAGTTTGGACTGTAAGTTAGGTGGGGATAACCTATGCCACGGGAGGTGCAAGGAATGTGGTTCTCTCAGCCCATTCTTTCTTTTTTCTTTCTTTTTTCTTTGGTACTGGGAATTGAACTCATGACCTCAGGCTTGCCAGGCAAGCGCTTATGCCGCTGAGCTATATCCCCAGCCCTTCAGGCCATTATTTCTAGAGGTTAAATACCTCTGTACTCCTCATTCTACCTCCCTGGACCCAGCTTCTGGAGCTTGTAAGATGCTTTGCACTCCTGTTATGACCTGGCTGGTCACCCACCTGCTCTATCAAGCATGGTCCCAGATAATGCAGCTGCTCCTCAGACCAGCCATCTGCCCCAGTAGTGTAACGTGTGTGCCCTGGCACAGTGCCCAGAGAGGTCACTAGTGCTAGGGGGCTGGTCAGGCTCATAGCCCCTTAGTTCTGAGAAATGAAGACCAGAGCAACAAATCCTAGTCCTATAATCCTGCTCAGCCTGGAGGGCACCTATGATATGGATATGCATATCATATGGACACCCCGGATGTGCACCTCATAGCTGCCACCTTTCATATAATAAAAGTTACCCTTAATTATGTGAGTTAGAAGCAGTGCTGTTAAGATGCACTGATTATTTCACTGATTATGGGTGACCCTGAGACCTGGACTTTACTATCCTTATTTTGTAGATGAGAAGGTTCAGACTGCCTAAAGAGTTGAAGCAACAGCTAGAGGATGCTGAAAGAACATGACTGGTTTTTCTGTGTCTGTGAATTCATAATCTTGAGCCTTCGTATAGTTCATAGTTCATTTTCTCTCTCGGGCTCCCCCATTAAATTGAGTTTTTCAAAGGCAGGAATTGAGCCTGTTGCCAGTACCCAGCACTGAGCTGCTATATGCTGACTGAATGGGAAGGAAAGGACAACTTACCTCTAATAAGGGAATCGTATCTAAAGCAAAAAAGGAAATCTGAACCAGAGACCCAGGGATGTCTTCATAAATTCAACACTTCACAGGGAATGAAAGGAAATCACATGTAAAAAAATTTATCAAAACAGTGAAGATTACTTATATAATTTTTCACCTTTAGTGTTAACATTATGCCTGTATTGCATTCAGTACATTTTAAGTGCAGTCTTTACAATATGAATCAAACGTTCCCCAGAGATAAATGTGATGCAGTATATTTTTTGCAGACTCAATGTTCATTGACTTTTCCCTTTAGTTAACAAGTAACACCTCTTAGCAGCTGATAGATTATCTTAGTATTATCCTATACCTTCTGACAACAGTTTATATACTTAGATGTGTGGTTTTAGCTATGTTTCTGACATCACAGACCAGCACAGTGAAACTCTAAAAGCTACATCTATCTTCACGTAATTTCTTAATTGTGGAGTCTTCCCCATTTCATGACTGGGAATGTCCTTAGAAACATGCCCTCTTTAAACTCGGGTCTTAACGTGTGAACTGAATTTGCTCATCCTTCATGTTAGACAGACTTCATAGGTGCCACCTCGTCCTATGAAAACACATGAAAAATGATAGCGTAGAAAGGGCTTTAGCTTGGTCAAAATCCTCCCAGTCCCTGTTTATTTCCTACTCTTCCCAACTTTCTCAAAAAGCCCAAGTACTGAAATACAGAATACATGGTTTCTTTCCCCTGAGCACCAATGTTGCCTCTGTAAGAAACACAGCAACTACCTTGTGGTGCCACTTTGTTATCTAAACTCAGCCCTTATTTCTGTTTCAAGTCACATGGATGTGAGAACCAGTTTCCTGACTGGCACAACATTACAAAGAGCGTCTAGGTTTAGTTATGTGCACAGCTTCTCTCCCCTATTGCAGGCTCCTTGGCCTGAGCTGCTCACAGTAGGATCACAACACACCCTTGTCTTCAACAGCTTCAAACAGTGGCCCTCCAGGGCAGGGACGAAAGTGTCTAAAGCTTCCCCTGGCTGCTGAAGACCAAAGGTGCTTCTGGATTTGGCAGTTCTGTTAAGCAAAACAAGGATAACAGAAGCTACAGATCCAGACACTATCAGAGCAAAACAATTTCCAAACAGCTCTGTGCTCATCTTCAGGTGAGTAGGTGTCTTCTGCCCTGGAGAAAAGAGGATATCGGAAACCTCATCAGTGGTTTCTAGTGGTTCTAGAAAGACCTTCAGCAAGAGAAAGGGGCTTCAGTTCAGTCTGCAGGGTCTTACCCCTGCTCTGTACCCATCATGCCCACAAAGAATTTTCTCCCCAGGAAGCCATTAACCTGTTCAAGCCTCAAACAAAAAGATATTTTAGAGTCTGAAATCTTCACTTGCAGCCTTAAATCCTCCTCATCTGTAAGTAGCTGTTGGTTCACAGGTAAACTGTCTGTTACTCCGAGGAGGAAGAGTCAGGCCTTTGCCTGAGTGGTCCCATCTGTGATTATGACAGACCCAGTATAATTACTCAATGTATCAACGTCTTGGTGGGGGAAAGACAAATGAGAGAATGAAGCTATCTTGTGTTCACACTAATGTCTGTGTTTTACAAGGTGACAGATGTATGAGCACCAGGAAGGATACATGATATCCCTGGTAGTGGCCCAACAGCTATGATATTTGAACACAGAGAAGGAAGTACAGGGCACAGGGCCAAGGATGAAATCGAAAAGGAGAGCAAGGTCACCTTGGGACTAGAGTAATGGGTACTTCACCAAACTGGCTGTTTCACTCTACACCCTGGAGGTTACGCTTCCTCAGCATGCCGCCTATCCATGTCGTATCGGCGCTGGTGCCCAGCTCTTCCTCTCTAAAATCTTGGGTCTGGTCTTTGTTGGTTTCCTCTTGTTCATCACTGTAGCTATCTGCACTGAATCCAGCATTCTCTGCCAAGACAACAGGATCATCTTCTTCATGAAAACAGCAGGAACATGTTTCTGGCTTTGGGTCACACGAGGTAACAGGATTATCTTTTTGGGGTCTAGGGTCAGTGGGCAGACGTTCCCAACCCACATGGTCTGGTTCTTCTTCCAGCACTTCCATTCTTTCAGCTATTTCTTCAGCAGAGGGCTCTTTTGGGTCAGGGTAATCCACCAGGATTGTTTTTTGTCTATGCTTGATACAGTCTGAAAGGTCATAAATTGGGTAAGTCTCTTCAGGGTAACCTAGAGAGAAAAGTTGCACAAAGTCTTAATGTCTCTTCAAAAAAATAAAATATCAAACTCAAAGAGGATTCTCAGGCAACAGCCATCTATATCCTATCTAATGCATTCAAGAAATCTCTTAAGATGATTCTAACAGTTCTAAAGTTTTGAACACATTACTGACTCCCAGTCCCCCTTGAAATACAAACCAATTTGGAGGAAAATCCCTTCTTAAGTGTAAGGTGCTCGGGGTAGTTAAGTCTCACCTCACGTGTTTCTGATGAAGATTAAACAAATAACATGAGCCTTCAGTTTAAAAAATGCACCAAATACCAGATGGAGAGAGCTTAGCTTAAGGCTAATGTTTATAATTTCTATTTGGAAGCATTTCCAAATCTTCTGAGGTGGGAGGTGGGAAAAGAAATGTTAAGCCGTTTGAAAAATACACCAAGAAGCTTTCTACTTCTTAAAACAACTGAAATGGCTTGCAAGTGTCGGAAACACAGGGCACGTCAGCAAGACACGCCCAAGATCCCCAAGGACGAGCACTGCATTTTCAGAAGACAGAATTCCCATTGTTGGCTTCTTCAACTTTACAAAATGGAACAAAGGAAAACAACAAACTGGTAAACAAAACGAGTAACACACTTCTGTATCCCAGCTATGATAATGAGAAAAGAGAAAATGTTGCCAAATTAAGGAATGAAATGAAATAAATCTGTGTCAGCCAAAATGAGCTTGAGCAGCAGATGGGCCGTGCTGGAGCTCATATGCCAGCGCTGGCAGTGGCAGCTCTGCTCACCACACAATGTGAAAAGCTGCAAAATTCGAAATTCATTTGCACATTATGATAATTAGCAAATTCAACCTTAATGTAAACTACTTTTTGCTACCAGTTGTGAAAAATAGCAGTCTTTTTGGGTACAGCATAGAGTATGCAGACACATTTTTACAACACTTTCAGTTTTTTTAATTCATTGTAGAAAATTTGAAAAAAAAAAAAAATGGAGAGCTTTTAAAAAAAACATAAAAATCAATCAGAATCTCACCACTGATAATAATCTGTTATATTTACTTTTGGCCTTGTTACCATATACAAACATTTTTGTTTTTCTCCCTTTCAATAAAGGATCATATTGCATATGAAATGTTGTACTTTGATTTTTTCATTCAACATTGTACTATAAGCATCTCTTCATATCATTAGGCACTCAAAAGTTGGCTGCAAAGCTATATAACTGACATGATTTACCTTATGTAAGACATTCAGACAAATTCTTTCCAACTTTCCCCTATTATAATGAACATACCAGCCAAGAGTTGTGAATATAAATCCATGTCTACTTCTCTAATTCTTTAAGACAGACTTCTATAAATATGAAAACTAGACCAAAAAGAATGGACATTTTAAAAGCATGTTTTATATGCTACCAAATTACTTTCCACAAGACTGGTATAAAATTTCTGTTCTACCAGTGATGTAAAAACTGCCTATCTTATTATCACACCCTTCCCAGCACAGACAGTAGGCTAAGAATTTTGCCAAGGCAGTCTTTATTCTCAAAATAACTTACTGTGGACAAAATGACAGGAAAGTGGAGTTTAACCACTGCTGTACTCTGGGTGTATGTTTCCTCCAAAACTCATGCTGAAACTCAATCCCCAAAGCATATGTTAGTAGTACTTAGAAGTGAGGTGTTTGGGCAGTAGTTAAGATTAGGTGAGGTCATGCAGACAGGGCTCCCATGGCATATCGTGGTTTCATAAGAGGAAAAAAATTCAAGTAAGCAAGCTTGCTCTGTGTTGCCATGTGATGCTGTCCAACATGTCATGACCCAGCAAGAAGCCATCACCAGATGATAAGCAGATGCTGACAATGCTCTTGGACTTCCAGTGAGCTTCTAAATAAATCTCCTTTTATAAATTAATCAACCCATGATGTTCAGTTATAGCAACAGAAAATGGACTAAGACAGCTACCTAAGGCCTTCACACTGTCTTTGGTCAAGGATAGGGGCTGGGGAAGTCTGTTTGCTAGTTATGTCTTAGCCACTGAATTCTTTAAAGAGAAGTACAGTTGCTGGCATGTTTTTGCCTTCACTCTACACCAAGAACAAAGCCTACCATTGGATTTCCGTGACTATCTTTGGTTTAAGAGGGAAGGTAAAAAGACTCAGACTCTAGGCCCAGCCCAATGGCTCCACCCCATTCTGAACATCTGACTGTTTCTCCAGGCTTCAGGCCCACCCTAGTACCAGGCCCCAGGATAGTTCAACAGTTCAAGTTATCATGCCTATGCCCAGCAAACTCAATCTCCAGACCAGACTGTACAGGGTCCAGGCCTGCCAGCACGCAGCCATACCCTGTGATTCCAGACTAGCTCAAAGCCAGGCTGGCAAAACCAGCTACTGGTTTCAGGTATGCCCCAGCACTAGGATGGAACCCCCGGCACCAGACAGGCACCTGGAGACACAGGCTCCATGCCTATCCAAGGGCCAGGTGAGGTCCCACAGTCCAGTACACCAAGGGTCCAAACACATCCTAATAGACCTTAGTGCTGGGTTAGCCTCCACAGCACCAGACTCTAGGAATGCCTCTGTGGACCCAAGGTGTAGGTTGACTCCTACAACCCTAGGCCCCAGTCTGCCCTCATGGATCAGATCTGCTAGGTCCTCATGGATCAAGCTGTTAGGCCTACCCTTGAAGATTCAAACTCCAAGCATCGAACCAAACACTGTAGATAAGCCAGTACACAAAGACTGGAACAAGTCCTTCTCCAAATGTACGACACCAACACCCAGATATGAGGATCAAGAACAGTCAGGGAAACATCACCACCAAATGGTCAAAGTGACATCAACAGACCCTAAAGTTTTGAAGATGCAGATACATAAACCACCAGACAAAGAATTTAAAAGAGACACGTAATGGGACAGGGATAAGGTATGAAAAATGTGTTATTTGGCAATTTCATTATTGTGGAAATATCATAGAATGAATGTACACAAACCTAGATGGTATAGGTTGTCAACCACTTGTCTCTTGCAGTCAAGAGGTGGGGTAAACATGAGATGCATGAGTCTAGTGCCAGCATAGCAAGGCATATTGTTTCACAGTAAATTTTT